GCTCAAATACATCAAACGAATAGAAATATCTGTCATATTCCTGATTTGGTACAAGCATTTCCTTATGTAGAAAATAGTGGATGAAAACTTTTTTTATAGCTAGCTCACTTGTATGACAGTCGCTTAAAGTTCCATTATATTGACAACAATGTACTAAAATCAAACAGACATAATAGATAAAAATGTCAAAAATTGGAAGCAAACAGTCAACATTGTGTTTTAACATATTAAAATGTATAGCATAATTAGGTATAAATCTTCTATTCAGTTTGTTTAACTTAGTGTCACATATTGTCTCAAAATGAATATATAAACTGTTTTTAAAACATTCTAGAATATTATCGATACTTGTGAAACTCTGATACCTCTGAAAAACGTTCTAATAGCTTTCAATTATATAACAATAGGTCTATAGATAGACAGATAACAGTTAACATTAGCCTCGTTCTAGATCACACACACACACACACAAACATACACACAAACACACAAACACTTGTAAACATTTTCATTTGATATCCGGCTCTAGAAGTTGAACTTATTACAAAATGTTCAGCATCACTTATATAAATCTTAAATATTAGACGTATGCATTGGTAGTGGTTGGTGAAATGTTAAATATTTCATATGTGTTTTTTTAAACACAAGTTAGAATACTACCAAGTTTCTGTAATGGTACGTCTTCTTTATCTGATACTTATAGGTATTTCAATTTTCTGGCCGTCTCTAATAAATGTATGAAGAATACAACAAATCTCCAGTATCTTCGAACCGACATTGAAATAAGCTTCGTTCTGTTTTTCATATTATTTGAATAAAAGCAGGAAAATGCATTCAAATAAGATCATTTTAAGTTCATTTGATTCCCTCAGGTGTTCTTTTTACCTTGAATTTAAATCTGCTAAATGAAATAATAACTACAGTTGCTTGTCACTGCTGATATGTTTATTATCAGGGGTCTGTTGTTCAACTTGTCGTTAAACTAATCATATGATTACTTTTAACGAGTCGTTAAAAGTTAATCGCATGATAAGAAATGCAATGATGAAATTTTGTTGTTTAACAAATTTTAATAATTTTATAAGTTAAGCACTGTAATCATTTTTAATCATATGATTAATTTTGGGTAATTAGCAAGTGTTTCCCACAACATACACAATGCATTGAAAATCAGGGCCTATAACATCCTTTTCTGCTTTAAGTTACCTTCTCTTCTCCTTTTTAACCGTTAACCATTTATGCTCCTCGTCTTGCTGACTTGTTTCTTTATATATATGAATGTGACTTCATACAGCAACATCTTCGGAAGAAAGAAAAGAAATCAGCAGTGTTCTTTAACTTCACTTTCCGCTACATAGATGATGTCTCTGACTATATAATTTAAAATTTGGTGACTATGTTGAACGCATCTGTTCCATCGAACTTGAAATAAAGGATACAACAGATAAAGTAAAGTCTGCATCATATCTCCACTAACCTCTGGAAATTGACAATGATGGTCGGTTGAAAACAAAATATTACGACAAAAGAGATGATTTCAGCTTTCTAATTGTGAAATTTCCATTTCTGTTAAGCAACATTCCAGCAGCCCCTGCGTACGGAGTATACATCGCCCAGTTGAGACCATATTATAAGGCTTGTATTTTCTATTATGATATCCTTGATAGAGGGCTGCTGCTCACAAGGATTCAATTAAACCAAGATTTCCAAGTGGTGATGTTGAAATCGTCCCTTCGTAAATTTTCGCACGTCATCACCAGTTGGTTGACCGTTATGGAATATCCGTTTAACAAATGACAACGGATATGTTTCAATTGTCGTAACTACAATCCGGTCCCCCTTTTCCCTGAATGTGGCCTACCTTATTAGACTTGTCACCAGGTTTGTACTAACATGCGCAACACGACGGGCGCCACATTTGGAGCAGCATCTAATTACCCTTCCGGAATACATGTGTTTGGTGGGGTTTTTGTTGCCAAGTCTTTAGTTTTCTATGTTTTGCTTTTTGCACTATTGTTTGTATTTTCTTTTTTAGCAATGGCATTGTCTGTTAATTTTCGACTGGTGAGTTTAAATGTCTCTTTGGTATCCTTCGCCTCTCCGTTGCATACATTTTACATGTTTTATCTTTCAAGGAATTTGAGTGTTTTTGATAGCAGATAATTTGAAGTCTTTGTTTAGTATATATATATATATATATATATATATACATCAACATTATAATGGGTCCTTCAAAAACCTGTATTTTCTGTTGTTAATTTAGTGCAACTCGATACAGATTCCACGTATTTTGGTTTTGATAATTGATGAAATCGTCGCATTATAACATCCGTGAAATATAATCTCCGTTGACGCTTTGCTGACATGGCTGAGGATTGCTTTTTTTTCACGTCTGCATTTCTATCAAATATGGCATGCCAAGTTTTAGATAATTATAACGAATGATGAAATAAATTTAGAACTGTAACAATACCATACATTGGTGACTACTAAGACTGGAAAGTTGAACTTTGACGACTAAAAGATGCATACCCTGCCTTCAGCTTTCAAACAAAGAATTAAAACAATATCAAAGGAATACATCGTGTATCTTCATGGGTTGTTTGTCTCATGATGATGAAGATGGATGAATGAATAATGTTCAGATGAGATACTATTTAAGACTAGAACATGTTAATGCAATATGAATATTAACCCTAATTTGTACCAGACTGACTGCCTGAGCCTGATTTTTGACTTGCATGAGGTACACAAGGTAACAGTGCGCAGAAAGACATATCACTCTCCTCAGACCCATTAGTATGACTATGAGCCGACTAGCCTATCCTCTTATCCATCAATATCGCGTGATTAGCTGAATCTCACCAAATACCAATTTCAAAGTCTTTGGTTTGATCCGGCTGGGGTTTGACGGTTAATTTTGAGTGTCTATCAAGTTTTATCTCAACTGTAACGATTACTTCTCACATAACGGTAGAATATTACATGGTGAAATTTATATATTGAATACTACATGTAAATACTATAGGGATGCTGCATGCTCTTTTTGCAATTTATATTATATTTATCATGTCTTACGTAGACCTTGTTTGCGTTACCGGAGACATTGGAGAAGTAGTGTTCAGTGTTTTAAAATCAAAAATATATTGGCGATATGAATGATTGGAAAGTTTTGTGTTTCATGAAGATACTAGTAATAGGCCTCCTACCTATAACCACACGGGGTTATACGACTTTTGTTGAAAAATCCCTGTCTGTCTGACCTTAGGTTTCCCATATTCTGAGTAACAGGTTCTTGTCTTTGTATATCGTGTCAGCTGAGAAATATGAGGCTTTTTGTTCACTATAAATTATACTTAACCACTGACATAAAATATACAAAAGTAAATTGTCCTTATCAATATGTTTAGCCTGCTGGTAGAGAGCTCTCATTGTATCCATCTTTGGCTCATAGTTTTTACTAAATGAAACTAACTATATGATAAAAAAAAAACTAAGCAAAAATATTATCATCGTACGATCCGGAGTATCTGTGGGCTGAATTTTCCCATTAGAATGTACCAGTGTTAGCAGTGAGGTCAAGGGCGTTATAAATTGTTCCTATATTTGAACTTCGAAAAACGGGAAAATTAGTAAACTTGCTTTGGAAATCACTTATGACCTGTACATTTATGCTGTAGAAAGATTTCTTATTAAAAACATACTGGTTCGCCATAATTTGTTGAATTATACCGAACAACAATGAGTCCATGTTTACAATCAGAAATGCTCAGAAAGCGATAGCATACAACCTGCCAAAATGTGCAATTTCTTTCTGTTATCAGATTTACGTTGTATGAACCTCTCCGATCATTCGCCTTGCCTCGTCTAATCCCTTTTCAATGTATGTTTCAACTCAACTACTAACAAATTTATTGTGTTTCTTTCAAATCTAAAACGCATTCAGAGCTGAGCATTGCTCAAATCCAATAGGGGATAAATACCTCTAAAATGTCTCATTTTTCGAGTCTTAACCAATTTTTTAATTACTACAACAGCCATATTGGATGTTTTACTCATATAATTAAAAATTAATACACCTTCATGGATTTAATTTTACGACAGGTTTAGCATTTTTAACACCGCATTGAATTCAACGACAGGTTGAACAACACTTTAGTCATATGATTTCTACATTATAAACTGCCTTTACCAAGTCAGAAATATGACAGTTGTTATCCATTTGTTTGATGTGTTTGAGCTTTTTATTTTGCCATTTGACTACGGATTTTCCAAAGAAGTCAAATGTTTCGGTATCGAAATGAGTACGATACATTTTCCAACCATTTCCCGGTGATAAATACAGAAACTATCTAGAAACTAAGGTTCTTACTCCCTCAGCATGCTCAGATAAATTTTACTTTACATAAACATGGTTTTTCTTTAGGTCCCTATTAGTCATATAGCTCTCACGTTCTTTGAATTGATACATCCTGGTCTTTGAAATGGTTTCAATTGAACGTTCCTGGTGTAGGTAAATAGCTCCGAACGCAAGATATTTGTTTTCATTCAATTTGAAAGTTTCGTATATAAACGCTAGGGCTCATGTTTGAATGCACGGTAGGTAATTTTGAGTAAATTGTCCCGCAACTAAACATGAACTTTATAAATATGTGGCTTAATTTTGACTACACATTCAATATTCTCTGTGCTTATGGAGTACGACCTACCACCGATCAAAAAACAAATACAGTTAACGATAATTTACTATCAAGATGACAACAGACTTTTAAATCCTTATCCTTGCTTTTACTCTGACAAAAATTGACGAAAAATTACATATAGTTGCCTAAATCCATATTATAAGATAAAGAAAGAGTGTTTGAAACACTTCGGCTCCATCCCTATGGCGTTTACTAAGCCTCTATGGATCCGTACGGGGTCAGTAGCAAACCATATAACTTATAGTATTGCCATAAAATGTAATATTTTTGTAACATTAAATCTGCTTTTCTCTGTAGATTATGAGTGTCCTGTCGGATTTGTAAAATGCAAAGACGGGCTGCAGTGTATTCGTGCTTTTTCCATGTGTACTGGAAATTTTCTTGGTTCGGGTTCAGAGTGTAAAGATGGTTCCGATAATGATACAGATCATTGTTCAGGTATAAATTTGTGAATTATTTAAAATGGTTAAACGTAATAATCAACGTTATATGTTATGAAACGTTTCAGACTGGTTCTTATTGAAAAAGATGAAAAGGAGAAAATGTTCCTTCGAAAACGTATCCTTTGCCAACAAAGGTCCTGATAAAGTAAACAGGGACAATTTGCATCTCAAAAAATTCCAGAAACCGAAAAAGAAACGCAGTTTATTTTATATGCTGTGTCAGTGTTTATGAAAATATACCACGGCAAAAAAAAAAAAGAAAAATAAATATTGTCGCAGAATTCAAGCTTTTAAAATACATCCTTTCTATTGATTATTTTATCTTATTCATTTTTTGGTTTTTTTGTTCTTTTTTTTTAAGTAAGAGAAAAACAAATTTTATGCAGTTTGAGTAATAATAACATTTATGCTATCTTTAATATCAACGTTCAACTATAGTATGTACTGACTGATTGTAACTGTATTTTGTTTGGTTTGTTGTGTTGATCCTAAGCTGACTCTTTGGCATATAAACCATATCAGTCATGTAGATGTGTAAACAACATTGCGATCAAGTTTGGTGAATAGGACATAAAACAAAATGAAATGAAAATAAGAGAGAACATATTTCTTTAAACAAATTGACGCTAAACAGCTATAACCCTAGCACGTGATTAAGCTTCTTATATTGTTACTATGTGTATAACCGCTACAGAATTATGTTTGAAAATTCTCGAATATTAAACGACTCATTTGAGTGCACAGTTAACAAATAAAAATACATTTCGGTGCTCAAGACTCCTGGATTTTCAAATCCGGAATAAAACAATATTGCATTTTTTATCTAAATGAGTGATATATAGCCCTCATTTTAAATAAACACATTCGCTAGACACATTCGCAGGCAGTATACACATAATTGATATAACGGATCGATTTGCATTAATTGAATATATTTGTTTTATTCACACTAAAGTGTGTAAAATGATTCTGTTACCTGTCACTTCGTGCGAATCTGAAATGCATGTCTTTTGAAACTGTGTTTATGTCCAAAAATTAGTAATTTATCGAACAGTTATTTATTTCTTGATATTGTAGCTTACGAATGCCCCGTGTACTTTGAAAAGTGTCCTAATGGTCATCAATGTGTACATCAGTCAATGATTTGTTCTGGGGAACAGATGTGTGATGGCGAATCAGAAGATGAACAACAATTTTGTAAAAGTAATTCATTAATTAACTTTTTTTTTATAAAGATGAGTATTTTCAATCGTTACAAGTAGCAGGGTTAAATGCAGGACTACTTCACATTTCACGGTTGACAGAAAAGAGCTATGCCAATTACCAGACATTCACTTATATTCCATTTCCTACTAAAGATAATAAAACAGATAAATAAGTAACTAATATGATGTGAGTAGGAATGTATGTATTTCCTGTCTGGAATAAAATCACTAATTCATAGCCAAATTGCAATTTTGTCTAAAGTTCAAATAAAGTGGCAGTCATTTTATAATAAACGAACAATTTTCTGACTTGTACTGAAAATCGCAGTGATTTCCGAGTGTTGGGTAGTATAGAAACATGTACTTCTGATCTTAGCAAAAGACCAAATATCATTTCATCATTTCATACATTTATTTCTTTATTCAAGAGATTTCAACAAATGTTCTTCATGTATCTCTAACCCTTGAGCTTTTATTTGATATCAAAGCTACCTAAATGTTTTATTTTTAAACAAAGTAAGTACAGGTATGCGTAGGAACTATTTTCTTTTTAAAAAAACATCCTGTATGTTCTAATTTCTTTGATGTTCTTTGTAATCGGATCCGAATGATGGTTGTACACTTATTACAGAATCAATCTTCCTAGTATATTGTTTTTTTTTACTGCACTTAATTCATTGTATCAGATATCTTTAACAACCATTTAATTTCTCTAAAATCGACATTTTTAACTATGTTTTGTCTTATCTTGAAAACTATCATCGAAAGATAGCCACTTTAGATAGCAAACCTGACGATCACCATGACTGCGTATAGGTCGAGAAGTAGAGTTGAAAATGTTCATCACATTCACCGAGCTACAGGAAGGACTAGATAAAATAACTTTACTGCAGTTCCCAATTGTCGAATCTAGTAGTCTTCTTTTTGTCCACTGAGAGGAGTTGCAAGATGAGGATTGTTAGTGATAATTGCATAGAAAGAATTGAATGATTAGGATGATTGAAATGTTGGTTAACAATTACACTGTACTAAGTGTTGCAAATGATAGTCCATTCGTTTGATGTGTTTTAGCTTTTGATTTTGCCATTTGCTTATGGACTTTCGTTTAGAATTTTCCTCGGAGTTTGGTATTTTTGTTATTTTACTTTTTGATTTTTTGTTGATTTCTGATCAGTGGCCGCACGTAGGTTTGTTAAGCCTCCATTTCGTTTGCCCGACATATACCAATCCGTGAAGGTAACACTCTAATCCGTAGACGAGATTTGTTGATTTACAATTCAAATCATCGGAGCTTCTGGTAAAATAAGATTTCTTAGTTAAATTGTTAGTGAATTGAGCATCTGTTATTTAGATTGTACAGGTCTTGCAGTTTTTGGTTTCACATTTTAATTTGAGACAGTGATGTTCAGATTCATTAAAATCGAAAAGTAAGAGGTTTAAGATAATCTAATAAAATAGAGTATGTTAGGTGTATTTTGGAAAAAAAAACAAGAGTAATGCTTGGTCATCTACGGCCTGTTTTTTTTTTTTTATTATGCTAGTTGCGTGAATGATTCTGTTGTAAACAAAGTGTCTGAGGTACATTTTTTTTCTTTACATCGGCTTATCATTCCGAAGTTCCTAGGATATAACCCAGATTTTAGTGGGGTTTCTGATTTTTAAGTTTTCCATGTTTTGTTTTTATAGACTATTGTTTGTCTTTGGTAATTTTTTTCTTTTTTTTTATTTCTTTTTCAGTTTGTCTTCGACTTGTGAGTTTAAATACCCCTTGGTATTTTCTATCCCTCTTTCTCGGTTCGCATCTTTCAGATATGTCTTTTTTTATGTATGCCTGAAACATATATTTAAAGATGAAACAAAAAAACATCATCCTTATCTTATGTTAACTGCACATTGACAAATTAAAAATGAGTACATGGAATGTTCATGTTGTTGTTCAATTGCAGCACGCAGCTGTGGTGACATTATGTCGAAATGTGATAATGAATACCAATGTGTGCTCAATTTCAAGACATGTGATGGTGTTGCAGATTGTGCAGATAGTTCAGACGAGAATGCAGACTTATGTGTAGAGAGTATGTTTATTTGAATCGAATTAATCAATGATTGATATTATATCAATAAAACAAATGATAGCCGAAAGGTTCAAGGAATGAAAATGACTTTCGATGTTCAAAAAAACCTAAGATAACTTTTTTTCATTTATCAAATAATTCACAGATTAATTTCCATTACATATGTTTTCATAATATAGTGTGTGTTGTGTTGCCAAGCATATATTTAAGTTGTCTTCGATTTAAGCATTCATAGACATTTAGAGAATAGAAATTAATTTTTAAACATGTTGTTATAAGATTATTTCCTTGCTTTACGTACACTACCTCAAACAAAATGTACTATCACAAGTGGTTGCATGTTGAAATGATATAAACACACAATAAATACTAACAATCAAAAGAAACCACAATAAATACTAACAATCAAAAGAAACATAATCAATGAATAATTTTCTAGTATTGTTATTCTAGTGTTAAATGTATATAAACAAAATGTATATGTCAATAAATCTAATCAGCTTATTATTCCCTGGGTATTCAGTGGAGTTTAACAGGGTACGTCAAGAGAAGCTTGGAATCTTGATGGTTTTTGTATCAAGCAATATTTGATGAATAAAATTTTAATGTTGAACAAAATAAATAAATAAATACTCGTGTAAAACTGACCATGCATTATTGTTTAAAGTAAAGATCAAATGATTATAAGTTTTAGAAAATAATTAAATTGTTAAACAAAATATTAAGCACATAGTTCATGAATCATATACATGTACGTTAGACCTACATTAATATTCGGATAAGTATTCCTCAAACAGCACATATTTACAAAGTCATTATTTACAGTATTATCATATATAATAAAGTTTGTACATATGTTAAACTGTAATGGGACATCAGTCAAAGGGTTTAAGATACATACACTTATTCTTACTTCTTTGCATCTTTTTTAAAGATCGTATCTGTCCAGTTGGAATGGTGAAATGTGAAGATAAGGTTCAGTGTATTTATGAAATACAGTTTTGTAGTAAATATCCTGACTGCAAGGATAAATCGGATGAAAGCCCAGAGATTTGTACAAAAGGTAATTAAAGATATTTTATCATTTCAAAAATAAATGCTAGTTTTAGTATGCAGTACTAATAATTTTTACAAATTTTAAGCCTGTTGTCTTTGATGGTTATTTTTAATTGTCTATGCCGTTTTATCATATTTTGACAAGATGTTAGCAATACGGTTTTATAAAACATTGAACATTGGAACGTGTGTGTCGGAAGACTTACAGAAATAGATATTGAGCAAAGACACTGTGCACATATACCAATTACGCAAATGCTTTTATTATATTTCATGTCAAAATGCCAGATTTTGATTGGTTAATACGAGAGAGACAATTTACTCTATCCCATGGCAAATACTATACTACCCTTCACGGAGACGCTTGCTCAAGTGTGCGCTTTAATAAATACGGATGATTGTTGTAAGACGACATTTTATTAATTTGAATTTGAAATTTAATAGACAGTAATAACAGAACATTCAGTATACTTGATTGAATAACACATACCTGAGAGGGTGATAGAGTAGATTGTTACCCCTCGAAAAGACATTGTCATGACAATGTTTTCTCGGGGTAACAATCTGCTCTATCACCCTCTCAGCTATGTGTTATGTATATAGTGTCTGTCCTATTGGTTTATAAATCTTATATACTTAGAAACAATATACCAACTTTACCTTTATATGGGATATAAGTTTCCCAACCCATTCCGTATTCAAGAGATTGCAGCTGCTAGTTATATTTTATAAAACGTCATTAGTGTCTAAGCAAATAGTTGATGAACCAGGGTAATTTCAAAGAATGTTGCGTCCTTTTGAAAGAAAAAAATCATCGATGGATTCCAAGACCTAGTTGATACATATTTTATATCAAATTCACCAATAATATATGATGGTCTTGAAGTTTAGATTATAGGTACTGACGTTGTTTATCATCTTGATAACGTGTTATAGTGATTTTTTTATTTATCTTTGTATATTTTCTGTGGTCTTGAAGTATAGATTATAGGTACTGACGTTGTTTATCATCTTGATAACGTGTTATAGTGATTTTTTTATTTATCTTTGTATATATTCTGTGGTCTTGAAGTATAGATTATAGGTACTGACGCTTGTCATCATCTTGATAACGTGTTATAGTGAACTTTTTATTTATCTTTGTATATATTCTGTGATCTTGAAGTATAGATTATAGGTACTGACGTTGTTTATCATCTTGATAACGTGTTATTGTGAACGTTTTATTGATCTTTGTATATATTCTAATATAGTCCAATATAATATACTATTGTCTTGTATTTAAACATCAAGCCATTGTGTTATTGTGAAATGGAAATTTTTGTATAGTTATCTTTCATTTATGCTAGGGTACTTTGTCTACCGAGTGTATATATATATATTTACCGTTTTGTTTTTCTTTGTTGAAATAGTTATTTAATTTTAATGTGATTAAGATTGAATTACAATAATTGACTGCTGTGCCTCAATTTGTGACTCTTTTACCTATTATTTCTGTTTGTTTTGCTAACACATCGTTCTCAATATAATATACTTCTATTCAACTATCCGTTGTCTACACAATGAAACGCAGGTCAGGGAAATTACAACCGCTTTCCATTTGGTTGATTTGTTTTAACTTTTGATTTTGCCTTTTGATAAAGGATTTTCCGTTCTGATTTTTCATTGGAATTTGGTATTTTTGTTATTTTACGTTATACTTTTTGTTTTCTGTATGTATTCTTTTTACCAGTGTTATTTCCATGTGTATGTTAAGGTCGTTCATGGTATATTTTCTGGTTTTATAATGTTATTGTATTCATGTACTAATGTTTTGCATTGGCGGCTATAGAAAATATAGATATTTATTACGAAGAACAAACATTACCGAGTTGAGTACAAGTGAGGAGGGGATCGTGTAATGAGTATATAATTTTAGACACAACTATAAGATAAAGACTTGTATTATGTTCTATTTGTCCTAGTATTAAAACAGCACCAAACAATAAAATTGAGAATGGAAACGGGGAATATGTCAAAGAGACAACAATTTGATCAAAGATCAGAAAACAGGCCCCAGGCCACCAATGGGTCTTTAAAAGCTGGTCCCTCGACAAAAATGAGTACTGGTTCAGCAAAAATGGACGTCACTAAACTCCGAAACAAACAAAAATGAACTAATAATTAAAAAAAAACAAAACAAACATACAAGACTAACAAAGGCCAGAGATTCCTGACTTGGACAGTCTCAAAAATATGACAGGGCCAAACATGTTTCGGTAGATCTGAACCTGTCCCCTATACCTCTAGCCAATGTAGAATAAAAGAAAACAGCAATTCGCACAGTAAAACTCAGTTTGAAAGAGGTCCGAGTCTGATGTTAGAATAGGTAACAGAAGAAAGCAAGTAAAATGACAATGATGCATAAGTTAACAAAGGACTACTATATGTAGCAGATACTGACAAGTTCTTTTAGCTTATATTTGATACCAGGAATCGGGCTATTATTATTGTTTTTAGGAGTAACACGTTCTTTATGTTGAATATAACTACGTTCATGACTGAAATAAACAAAACGAATCTAAGGACTTTACGTCAGATTTTTCTTGTTTTATCCATTTCGTCCAGTAAATAAGGAGTGAATCGCGGATGATGTTACAACACTCATTCCAATTGATAATTTACTGTGGACGATATTTAGGTCCTTAACTGAGGAATAATTTCAACTCCCGGTCATGCACGATGTTTACGTCTCCCGTTATCCATAAATGTTTTTGTAATTACTGCAATTGCATGACTTATGTGTATGGTATATTAAAATATCTACGCTATTTTTACAGACAGAGCTTGCCCTACTGGAATGTCTAGGTGTTCCGCAAATGACCCAAAATGCATATATGATAGTTGGTTCTGCAACAACCAACCCGAATGCGAAAACAGAGAGGATGAAAGTCCGAATAGTTGCTTTAATCGTAAGAAGATATTTAAATTAACACATGTGTACATAAAGATGTATTTTACGTATATACATGTATAGCATGCCTTACATCGAACGTATTGACTGTTTATGTGCAAAAAGAGGCAGATTTGTTATATATCGACTGCATTTACCCACTTCGTTCGTTTGGGTTAAATTTGAACGGTGACAGGACTGGTGAATTTGAGCTTATCATTTTATATTTACTCAGATGTGCGTAAACTATAAGTCGATTTTTCTTTTCATTTTTTGTTTCTTCAAAAAATGAAATACATGATATGCAAAGTTTCTCAAATATATAAAAATGCAGTATAAGGTTTAGACTTCCCCCTTTTTAAATTGATCTTGGAGTTTGATTGTGTTGTTAAGACTTTGTTCAACCCATCGTGTTCTTTTGATAATGTCTGTTCAGTGTAAAAAATATAAAAGTTCGTTTCTGTTGGCTAATAAAGACTAATGTTTGATTTTGTCAAGTTTGATAGGTTTCTCCCTCTTGAAATTACTTGAGAGTTTGGTATTATTGGTCATACTTAATTTATTAACATGTTTTTAAAATGTTTAGTATTAACAGTACATATTAGCTGGTACTGATACTTTTTAAGTGATTGCTTGTTCATGACTAATTTTCTATTTATTTGTGTGCATGACAAAAAAAAAGTTTTCATACCATTACTTTAAAACTGATACGTAATGCAGTGTCCATTAAAAAAAGGGAAGATCGCTGTATGTAATATACATTCAAGAGTCTATCCTAAATTGAGGTGCTTTCTAATTACCGTTTCGATTCCTAACATCGATGAAGAGGCATTATTTGTCGAAATCCGGATATGGTGTACAAAAACCTTTGCACCTTTTGTTTGCGGTATATCATCTTTTCCGCAAATTTATTGTTTTCTGTTTAGTATTAAATTTAAAATTAAGATCCATTTATTATATCGGTGATCCGTTTATTTGGCAATCGCCAATGGCAGTCTGCAGGGTTTAAGAACATTTGTTGTTAGACCTGTTAGTCAAATGCGTGTTGTTAAAATATACTTTTTCCACTTTTTTGGTCTTTTTGAAAATGTTGTTTGTGCTGTATTTAGACCCCTCTAACAAGAAATTTGTTTTGCATGCGCACGTATAAAAATTGCGGTTTTTATCCAACGCTATCATAGGTTTGATCGTTGTTTTCAATTAAGGCTTGTATATATATTATATATTTATATGTGTAGATTATGTCTATTTATGAATTTAATGTCAATCGCATATTTTTGAATACTTTCGTTCGTATTTTGTTTTTTTAATTTTCTAAGTATGCTGTTTCGTTGTAGTATACGTGTACAATGTCAAATTTTACATTCATGAATGATACAGAATACCAGAAATCATTTGCATCAAAAAACGTTTCAATTTATTACTTTATATTTATTAGACATTGTATGTTTTTTTTTATTTTATCTTCACAGGTCCAAAAGGATCCAAGAAATTTCCGTGGTTGACATAGTAGTTGGATTGGATTTTTGAGTAAAACGAACTTGCTTTCATCATAAGACGACAGAAAAAAATGCATTATGTTATACATACTACATGCCTTTACTGTGCATGTAAACAGTGTGGATTACAATTTGGTGTGTAGAAATTTTGTATTGAGATGTTATCATCATATGATAATAAAATGATGATAAACCATGGCATTGTCAAATTTCGATTAGTTTAATTTGTATCGCTAGAGAAAAGCCATTGGCGTTACCATCCATTGCTAGTATGCATTGCCTTAATGACGATAATAAAATCAGATGAAAGTCCCCTTTACGGTGGTTGCTATTGGTATTTTACCAAAAACAGATAATCAACAGCAACATCTGCATTAAGGGTACAAACGTGAATTAGGCTATAACATTGTCAAGTCTGTTTCTTTTTAATCTTCTTGTGTTTGCACAGTCACCATTTTTTTAAACGGAGGTTAGGGCATATATTACTGGTTACACGAAAAGAAAACAATGTTGAATGGTGAAGACCTATTGGTTGCCTTCGGCTGCTTTCTGCTCTATGTTCGGGTTGTTGTCTCTTTGACACATTCCCCGTTTCCATTCTCAATTTCATTTTAATGTTGATCGGATTAAACCTTTAAGAATATTTTGTTTTTAAATTTGAGTTTAACAGTACTTGTATATGTTAACATGTGCCCTAGTTCAATGTACTACGTTTTCATGCAATCCTTATTGTTACCATTTCTATTGACCTTTTTGCATGTATATATGCTGATGCTCATTTCAATAAAGGTACCTCTTCTCAAATGGAAGTTGTTGGATTTAGAACTGTTACGGTGGATCAACGGTATATATTTCCTAAAATAGAATTGTTTTATGCTTTGCCAAAATGAAAATTTTTCAATGCTTTAAACAAAAATATAATAAAAAGAATGGGTCACAGTGATATTTTTCAATCTACAAGTCGTACAAAATTGCTCACATTTGTATAGATTTTTCATGAAAAAACACATTTTTGTGAATAAAAGAAATATATGAGATTTAATTTCGAAATAAAAATATGAGGAGATAGGTTTTATGATATGCTTTAAGAAAATAAAAAGAAAAAATGATGTCACCGAACTTGTTTTCTTGCTACAACTATACAATTGTAATTTCACTATCATTCCAGTATTAAATGTTTACTATAAGAGTTATCTACCCTTAAATGGCCAAGTTTCAAAAATTGATTCTAAACACATAAATATTTGGTTTTGTTTGAACAATGTTGATAATGCAATAAACCAATTATGTTTCTTTATACATATAAGCCGTGTGACACATAAATTATAAATCTGTCTCAAAATTTGAAGGTTTAGGCAAAGAACTAGACCGATTGTGTACTGCTATTGTACAATGCAAGAAGGCAGTATACAGTGAATCTACCGTAATGTAACATTTTTGGCGGACATTCGAACATTTGAACTCTTCCCTCGTATGTTTTTTTTTTTTTTCTTGAAAAAAAAATGACAAGTTATACAGTCATTTAACGTTCGGGTAGACACTATTAATAGACTTTTGATAAAGATTGGCTTTGTTGATTTAAAAAAAAATATATACATATATATATATATATATATATATATAATGATAACAAAGTTCAATGTTTCATATATCAATGAGGCAGCAAATCTAGTAATGCCAAAAAGGAATTAAAACTGATACAGACACGGTTAAAGTCCAAACACTCAAAAACAACAGTCAATAATAAAAAAGAACAAAGAAAAAGACAAAAAAGTCCACACAACACTAAAACAATAAAGGTCCTAAGTCAGGAGCCTGTTGTTCAGTGGTTGTCGTTTGTTGGTGTGGTTCATATCTGTTTCTCGTTTCTCGGTTTTTTTTTTTGTTTTTTTTTTTTTATATAGATTAGACCTTAGTTTTCCTGTTTTAATTGTTTTACACTAGTCAATTTGGGGCGCTTTATAGCTTGCTGCTCGGTGTGAGCCAAGGCTCCGTGTTGAAGGCCGTACTTTGTCCTATAATTGTTTACTTGTTACACATTGGGACTTGGATAGAGATTTGTCTCAACTGCACTCATTCCACAGCATTTTATTTATAAAGATTTAGCAACACGGCCCAGATCAAAAACCGGTGTTGAACAGGTGCTCTGAAACGATCCACAGCCTCTTCCCCACGTATAACAATCATGGTGCTGCTAATTTTAAGTGCAAATAAGCTGGTAACTCTTGAAAAAGAGAACAGTATTGAGAGTACGACAATTGTGACATATCCGAGAAATCAAATATTCCATAACCGTCATATTTTGGGAAGGTATGCTTTCAACTTATCAACAGCTTCAACATTGTTCAATGTGATAAGAAACACTCTATAAAGGTAATAATACATCTAGCACCAGAACATATTAGCGTAATGTAAAGTATACGTAATTGGGCAGATTTAGATACACAACTAATCTGTGAACTGCATCTGTATACGAAAAAAGACACGAATCACATATTCCTCTAGAGATTCAACCAATTAAATATTTGTGAAAAGGACTATCAATGTATAGAATGTAATAGAAATTAAACGACGTAAAATATGTTTTGTTCTACTGAAATTTCGAATGTTGAAAATCCTTTTACAGAATTTTGTTTTATATTGACATGTCATTGCTTGAAAACAAATCCGTTGAAGTGATTAAAAAGCAGGTAGCATTTGAATTCTTTTGTTTCTCTTCATAAAGTCAATAGACCTCAATTTGCCTTAATATTTTAGTCTTCAAAAGTACAACATAAACATACGTTATATTTTTTTTATGTTTCTACATATAAATAAGAAGATGATGTATGAGTGCTAACAAGACAACTCTCTATCCAAGTCAAAATGTATAAATGGTAAACAAGAATAAAGTAAAATAACAAAAATACCAAACTCCGAGGAAAATTAAAAACGGAAAGTCCATCAAATGGCAAAAAAACCAGCTCAAACACATCAAACGAATGGATAACAACTTTCATATTCCTGACTTGGTACAGGCATTTTATCATGTAGAAAATGGTGAATTGAACCTGGTTTTATGGCTAGCCAAATCGTCCGCTTATATGGCAATATAAAAAATACCGCAAAAATGACAACGTTACGTGACAGGAATACAGTACAAATAAACGCAAGAACACTCAGGACAAAGAAACACGTAAATAAATAATATGATAGTACACTACAACATGTAAACCACAGCATAACAATGGACACGAATCCACGACAGCACAACAGGACATCACATACGAATTATAAACTGTGCGTCCCACAAATATATCAACAGCACAAAAAGTGACGTATTTTTGTGACGTTTATATTATCACGGGTAAATTTCTAAAATTAGAAGCGATTTGTTTTATTATAGACACGTACAAGAATATAAGATTAAGTTTGTAATGATGTATAGGTCAAAGTACGGCCTTCAAGACAGAGCCTTGACTCACACCGAACAGCAAGTTATAACGGGCTCCAACATGTTTAGTGTTAAACAATTCAAACAGGAAAACCAACGGTCTAATCTATATAAAATCGAGAAACGAGAAACACTTATAAACCACACCAACAAACGACAACCACTGAACAACAGACTTAGGACAGGTGCATGCCAATGCAACGTGTTTATACGTTTTAACAGGCGCCAACCTGCATCCTAACCTGATACAGTAGTGTAACATTACAACATAAATAGACAATGGAAGTGGCTTAACTAGTTTAAAAACAAATTTGAACAAAAACAACTAAACATACACTGAACGAATAAGTTTGACCTATGACATAATATAAATACAATTTTAATAAATAAAACGATGCGAGAACATGGTCAAAGAGACAACTCTAACCTGGGATAAATGTTTTTAAATAGAATAACATACACAAATAAGTTAAAATATAATAATTTTGTTGTTAGGAGTACGGAAACATGTTTTACAAAATTGTTTTTTCACAGCACGAGGACAGAAGTGAAAATTTATCGTCATTCTAAATACTTCAAAGTTTGTACATATTTAAAATAGTGAAACGAAAAATAACACAAAATACGTAAACATTGAATTACAGAAAAGCTAACAAATTGTGTCAACAGGTCAAATATACATCACATACATCTAATATCCTTGATTTTTTTTAGAAATCAAAACAAAAACAGTTCCTTCCGGAGCACCTGAGATCACCCACAGTTTTTGGTGGGGTTCGTGTTGCTGTTGTACCCCTATTTGTGACATGTTTACCTATTGTGTTTGTTTTGTTCACACATCGTTGTCAATATAATTGAATTTGATGCGACTGTCATACAAGTGAAAGGATAAGCTAGCTTTAAAACCAGGTTAAATCAACCATTTCCTTCATAAGAAAATGCCTGTACCAAGTCAGGAGTATGACAGTTTTATCCATTCGTCTGATCTGTTTGAGCTTTTGATTTTGTCATTTGATTAGGGACTTTCCTTTTTTAATTTTCCTCGGCGTTTAGTATTTTTGTGATATTACTTTTTCTTCCCTATTTTTGTCTGATCTTTAAAACTGAAATAAAAGATAATGGATAAACAAGTCATCAATTTATATTGACTGAATTTTGAAAAAGGTGTAACAAAAAGTAAAAATGTGTTATTAATCAACATTTTCTACATGAGGAAATGCATGTACCAAGTCAGTTATATTACAGTTGTTTTCCAGTCGTTTGATGGGTTTGAGTTTTTGTCTTGCCATTTGCCAAAGGACTTTCCGTTTTCAACTTTCCTTGGAGTTCAGTTATTTGCTTTTTAATTTTTTTATTCTGTCGCTTGTTGTGTACATTCTATAATTTCATTGATTAATTCTACATATGTTCTGTATATACGTTTATTAAATATTCAGATGCATGCGTATTGGGTCATGATTTCGTAATTAATAATATGATATGGAAAAAAAAGTTGTTTTGAATGAACGGATGGATGAATACTTTATTTGCAAAAAGCATGTACATGGTATGGTAAATGAAGATATATACAGCACATGACAAACAAACAAAAGACAGCAGAGAACAATAGCAACGGAGTATACAATAATATTATGACAATATATAGGATCTTATTTTCTAAGCTGCCTTTACATAATTGCATATTTTTACTGTCAGAGATTTACAAAGAGCTCTAAAAAATCTTGTATAGTAAATATTAGGTAAACATGCTATTCGCAAGGATC